CGCCCGCCCGCAGGAAAAGTGGGACCCGGGAGGATGAGAACGGAGGGAGACAGGAGGTGTGAGGACCTAGGGGAGAGGCTGGAAACAGCTCCCCGCGCTCTCCCGGCCGGAGAAGAGGCCTCCGGGTACCCCAAGAGAAGGCTCTGTGTGCAGGGCCGAGGGGCGGGCACTCAGCACCCTCCCAGGGAACGCACTCAGGGATCAAAGGGAAGCACGGGGTTCCCTAGGCTCCCCAGGACGAGGCGCTCCCCTCTACCCTCCTGCACACGCATCACCATTGTCCCCGCCCCTTTGCTCCCGGAGCCACAACCCCTACTACCAGGTGTCCCCGATAGTCCAGGGGACCCCCCAACTCCTGCCTGTCTTACCTGGGGGGCGCTTTTTTGCACACAGTGCCATCTCACCCAGCAAGGTCCCAGCAGTCCCATGGGAGGCCCTGCGGGAAGGTGACATGCGGGTGAGGTCGAGAGCCTGAGGGTCACCCTTCGTTCCTTTCTTCAGGCGCCTCCTGAAGCTTTCTGCCCGGTGCTAGCCTTGCTCCTCCGCCCCGGCCTTACCCCCCACTCCCACCAACACTCTGCTCCGAGGGGTCCCTGGAGAAGGAGACTCGCTCCCCCCGTGCCCCTGCCTGGGATCACACAGCGGGGCCGACCGTTCACAAAGAGCAAGACCTGCAGGGACAGGAGGTGGCAGAGAGGGGATGCCAGGCACTGACCGGAGGGGCACAGCTCTCACCGGACCCATCCCAGGGCAACGGATGCCCCCAGGTGCCCTCCTCGCGGCAATGAATGGTGCCTGTGTTTACTGGAAAGCAGAATTTCCACCCGAGGGTGGGGTGGGGTTGAGGGAACACCAGCCAGGAAACACCTGGCAGAGCATCAGGAAGCAGGGTGGGCAGGCTCTACCCTTCTCACAAGTCATAACCCTCCACCCCCTCTCCCCGTTGGGGGCTGTCATGGTCTCCTCCTGCGGGGGAGCTCGCGTTAGAAGCCCGGCCTTCACGTCCTGCACACAGTCCCCACCTTCCTGGGCAAGCAAGGCTCCCCCACCCCAGGAGGAGGTGCCCTCTCCGCCCCCCGACCCCCCAGCCTGTCCTGCCCGCCTGGCACTGGTGCGGGCTCCAGAGCATCGTCAGATGGACCGCTGCGTCCTTCCTCCCACCTGACAAGGTAAAAGTTCGGGCTTACGAGACAGGGTCCCAGAGTCTCGCCCGAGCCCCAGCCTGGTCCAGAGGACACTGCCAGCCAGTGCTGGGTCCTCCATCACCTCCTCTTTGTCTGCACGGGCACACCCCGCCAGCCTTCGGCCCCCAGAGGTACTCATTGCCCGTCTGCCAGCCTCTATAATCACAGACGCGGCCGCAGCCTGTCGCCCACACCAGTTGTCTCTCCGCAGACTCAGACGCCCTTCCTGAGCCCGATCAGGCACCGCTGAGACCCACAGCCCGCTTCCTCCCGGCCCTCCCCGGCCCCAGAAGGAAAACCTCATCCACATTTTAGAGATGCCAGGCCGCCCCAGGGCCCCCGGCCAGGGTCTCCACCCAGTCTAGAGGGTGAGTCACGGAGGGTGTGGGGTGTGAAGGGGACCGTGAGGACAGGGTGCAGGGTGGGCACCTCCAGGCCCCAGCCGGCCCCACCCTTCCCAGGAGGCCGGCCAGACACTCTCAGCCCGCAGGTC